AACTAAATAAAAATGAAAAACATAAACACAACTAACAAGACTGTGTTAGCCCTATGAACTAAAGCGTAGGCATAAGCACTATGGCTGGTCCCCCGAGGAAAATAATCCTGTTCGCTCGAAAGTCGTCTGTTCTTTCTACCAATTGATTGGTCGTAATTTTAAAAGTTTATTTGTAAAAAAAGTGGTATTTGTTCTTTCTACCAATTAAATTGGTCGTAATTTTAAAAAGTGTATTTGTGAAAAAAAGTGTATTTGTTCTTTCTACCAATTGATTGGTCGTAATTTTAAAAAGTGTATTTGTGAAAAAAGTGTATTTGTTCTTTCTTACCATTGATTGGTCGTAATTTTAAAAAGTGTATTGTGAAAAAAAGTGTATTTGTTTCTTTCTACCAATTGATTGGTCGTAATTTTAAAAAGTGTATTTGTGAAAAAAAGTATATTTGTTTCTTTCTACCAATTGATTGGTCGTAATTTTAAAAAAGTGTATTTGTGAAAAAAAGTGTATTTTGTTCTTTCTACCAATTGATTGGTCGTAATTTTAAAACAGTGTATTTGTGAAAAAAAGGTGTATTTGTTCTTTCTACCAATTGATTGGTCGTAATTTTAAAAAGTGTATTTGTGAAAAAAAGTATATTTGTTCTTTCTACCAATTGATTGGTCGTAATTTTAAAAAGTGTATTTCTGAAAAAAAGTGTATTTGTTCTTTCTACCAATTGATTGGTCGTAATTTTAAAAAGTGTATTTGTGAAAAAAAGTGTATTTGTTCTTTCTACCAATTGATTGGTCGTAATTTTAAAAAGTGTATTTGTGAAAAAAAGTATATTTGTTCTTTCTACCAATTGATTGGTCGTAAATTTTAAAAGTGTATTTGTGAAAAAAGTGTATTTGTTCTTTCTACCAATTGATTGGTCGTAATTTTAAAAAGTGTATTTGTGAAAAAAAGTATATTTGTTTTTCTACCAATTGATGGTCTTAATTTTTAAAAAAGTGTATTTGTGAAAAAAAGTGTATTTGTTCCTTTCTACCAATTGATTGGTCGTATGTTTTAAAAAGTTATTTGTGTGAAAAAAGTGTATTTGTTCTTTCTACCAATTGATTGGTCGTAATTTAAAAAGTGTATTTGTGAAAAAAAGTGTATTTGTTCTTTCTACCAATTGATTGGTCGTAATTTTAAAAAGTGTATTTGTGAAAAAAAGTGTATTTGTTCTTTCTACCAATTGATTGGTCGTAATTTTAAAAAGTGTATTTGTGAAAAAAAGTGTATTTGTTCTTTCTACCAAGTGATTGGTCGTAATTTTTAAAAAGTGTATTTGTGAAAAAAAGTATATTGTGTTCGTTCTACCAATTGATTGGTCGTAATTTTAAAAAGTGTATTTGTGAAAAAAAGTGTATTTGTTCTTTCTACCAATTGATTGGTCGTAATTTTAAAAAGTGTATTTGTGAAAAAAAGTGTATTTGTTCTTTCTACCAATTGATTGGTCGTAATTTTAAAAAGTGTATTTGTGAAAAAAAAGTAGTATTTGTTCTTTCTACCAATTGATTTGGTCGGTAATTTTAAATTGTATTCTGAAAAAAGTGTATTTGTCTTTCTCCATTGATTGGTCGTATTTAAAAGTGATTTGTGAAAAAGTGTATTGTTCTTTCTACCCAATTGATGGTCGTAATTTAAAGTGTATTTGTGAAAAGTGTATTGTTTCTTTTACATGATTGGGTCGATTTGTTAAGTGTATTTGGAAAAAAAACGTGTATTCGTCTTCCTTTCTACCAATGATTGGTCGTAAGTTTTACAAAAGTTATTTGTGGAAAAAAAGTGATTTGTTCTTCTACCAAATTGATGAATTAATTTAAAAAGTGTATTTGTACAAAAAAAGTATTTGTTCTTTATAACCAATGATTGGTGGATTTAAAAAGTGTATTTGCTGAAAAAAGTGTATTTGTTCTTTCCACCAATTGATTGTTCGTAATTTTAAAAGTGTATTTTGAAAAGCCGTTTCAAGAAACCTTCAGCACGTCACTATTCACAGTCAGTATTTTAGTAGTTATTTTTTTTTTTTTTTTTCATGTGCCTTAATAACAAACTTGTATGCCATCTGTAAATACGAATAAAATGGTTAAGTAATGATCCTAGTTGTAACCTTCCCGCTAGCCTTGGCTGAGATAATGGATGGGCTGGACATGCCAAGAGATTGGTCTGCCATGTAGCATGCTTCTGTCTATAACATGAGCTGCTAAGTATGTGTGCATAATCCTGTCTACCGCGGTAAAAAAAAAGATATCATGAAGAACTGTTTCTGCTACTGCGCTCAACATTGCTGCGATGAAGTTAATAGTTATTATTGTTATATTGACAAAAGCTCAGTGGAAAAACGTTGTGATGGGCTACTTTCTGGAGGATGATCGTGCCAATGCTGACTTATCTCTGACTCTGAAAATGAATCAGACAATGAGGAAATCCCTGATTTAGGTAAAAGCGTTTTCATTGAACCAGAAATTGTAGAGTCTTCTGATGATGACAGTGATGGGGAAGAAACGGTGTCGTTGTCAAAGAAGAAGTTGACCGAGTTTTGAAAATCTGTGGAATGCCCGGTGGAAGCAGAGAGATGATTGCCAAATCAGTCTCTACTTTTATCCAATGTAAAAAAACACAATTTCAAATGTTGCTACATAGGACCGAATGCAGGTGGTGGGTTTTAATAAAATCAACTATATGCATTAAGCTTGTCTGATGTTTTAAGCACACTGTTTGATGAAATGAGACACAAATGACTCAAGAGGGAGCCAGAGATCAAGGTAACCAGAAGAAAAAAAACTTAACCTGACCCATCCTCCTCCCTCTCCTGCTGGCTTTTGCAGATTCTGCCGTTACTCTCCTGAAGTTGCCGGTAATAGGCTACACGAGGAGTCGGCAACCGTTCTCATGTGGAACATCAATTTATTTTACAATTTCTACCGATCTGCATGCCAGTTATGGCTTTCACATTTTTTATTTAATTTATAATAAAGTCTTCGTATCTCAAAATATTTGTACATGTGATTAATCAAAATTCTATCCAAATCTAAATGAAAATGATACAAACCTAAAAAGTTAGTTCTATTGCCAACTACCAACTATGTTAAAATAGCCTACATGAAGCCAACAAATAAAAAACATTGCAGCCCGCAGGTAGAAAATAACCTGATAAAAATAACTATCCTATAAATCACATTGGCTACGCATGGCCTTTTCCGCAAGGAACTTGAAACATTGTATAAAATATTGTGGGCCCTCAGAGTTTCCTGCGCCAGTGAGCTCGGGACAGACACAGCTGTACGCTATTTGCTCAAGGGATAAGGAGTAATCAGGTAGGCCTATTTTATGAAGTTTCCACTGGATCAGACCATTACATTTTTCCCTTTCACGCTGAGTGGTCATCGAAAAGGGAGAGAGCTGGAAAGATCTTTCAAATACATTGAGGAACTATTGTCATTCTCAATGGATGTAAAAACAGACTTAGTTTGCTTGCTGTTTGAGGTGAAGAAAACATTACTTTGAGACGCTCCACAGCTCATTAGTGGTGGTGCGTTAAGCCAATCATAAATACTATCAGATTCCCAAATGGACACATTTATAGGTCTACATTTGCGCGCAGGTCAGGTAGACTATAGGCCTACTTCTATCAGTAATCAGGTGCTTACTCAAAAATTGATAGGAGCGCTGCAAACAAAAGACAATGACTAAATTGACAAAACTCTTAAATGGAATGAAACAAACCAAAACATGTTTCTCACAAGTGTAGCAAAGATTGTGCACTCTGCAAATGAGAACGGTAAAAGACTAATAATACTATATTGAATGCATTAACAGAAAATTACCGTAACAAACAAAACATTGTAGATTATAAATGATAGGAATTAACGGTAAATGTACTACTGAGGATATATGTAACGGGGGAGTTGATAGACACTAACAATCAAACGCAAACAATTCAACACACTGAAGTTATAAAACAATGAATGTGCACAAATTGGCGGGAGAGAGCACATTGTGGTGAGAGACGTACATTCTGGTGAGAGACGTACATTCTGGTGAGAGACGTACATTGTGGTGAGAGACGTACATTCTGGTGAGAGACGTACATTGTGGTGAGAGACGTACATTGTGGTGAGAGACGTACATTGTGGTGAGAGACGTACATTCTGGTGAGAGACGTACATTCTGGTGAGAGACGTACATTCTGATGAGAGACGTGCATTCTGGTGAGAGACGTACATTGTGGTGAGAGACGTGCATTCTGGTGAGAGACGTGCATTCTGGTGAGAGACGTACATTGTGGTGAGAGACGTGCATTCTGGTGAGAGACGTACATTCTGGTGAGAGACGTACATTCTGGTGAGAGACGTGCATTGTGCATCTTATCCCCTTCTTCTTGGACTGTACCATCCCTGCGGCCTTCGCAATAGGATTCGTTTTGGCCTTCGCAATGGATTAGATCACTGAGATGGGCGCGAATAAGACAGGAGTCTCGTGTGCCATAGAAGATATATATATATATTTGCTACTGCTCTACAACAAAACAAATAGTCCAAACAGCCTATTCGACCAAACAATCGCCCAGTCGACTAATTGGGGCCAGCCCTAATAAGCACACACCAATATAAAGAACTATAAACCCACTGGGGGAAAAAATTATTTAATCAACGTTGTTTCCACGTCATTTCAACAAAATAATTCAGTGTGATGACGTTGAATCGACGTGGAAAACTGATTGGATTTGCAAAAAGTCATCGTTGAATCAACGTCAGGTAATTACGTATTTTTTTCAACCCAACTTTTAACCTAAATCCAATGACATGGTGACATTTTATTGTTGATTTCACATTGAATTTACGTTATTTGACATCTCAACCAAATTTTAATCAAATCTAGACATTGAACTGATGTCTGTGCCCAGGGAGAATCGTAGCCACAACTCACCCTGGCAGAATCCGTCAATCTCCTCATGTCCCAGACTACAGACGCATCGCCCCAGAGGAACCAGCCAGTCCCCGTCCGCCCCACAGTACAGTTTGGGCGTGTCCCTCTCCTCTGCGTTCTCCACGCACGCCCCCCGCACTTCCACCAGCGAGGAGGAGTCAACCCTCGGCACCGTGGCTGGGAACGCTGCCAAGTTCCTCAGAGTGGATGGACAGCGCTTAGATAAGGAGACAGATGGAGAGTAGTTAGTACATAGTTTAGATGGATGGATGGATGGATGGATGATAGATGGATGGATGGATAATGGATGGATGGATGGATGGATGATGGATGGATGGATGGATGGATGGATGATAGATGGTGGATGACATGATGAGCTATGGATGGATAGATGGACATATGGATGGATGAATAGATGGACATATGGATGGATGGATGGATGATAGATGGATGGATAGATGGATGGATGGATGGACATATGGATGGATAGATAGATGGACATATGGATGGATAGATAGATGGACATATGGATGGACATATGGATGGATGGATAGATGGACATATGGATGGATGGATGGATTGATGGATGGATGGATGGATGGATGGATGGATGGATGATAGATGGATGGATGGATGGACATATGGATGGATGGATGGATGGAATGGATGGAATGGATGGATGGATGGATGGATGGATGGATGGATGGATGGATGGATGGATGGATGGACATGGATATGGATGATGGATGGATGGATGGATGGATGGATGGATGGATGGATGGATGGACATATGGATTGATGGGATGGACATATGGATGAATGGATAGACAATACCTTATAGAACACCTTGATGGAGACCAGGGCGATACACGCCCCCACATCCTGGAACGCCAGGTAGAAGCCCTTCTGGGTCACGGGGCCGACCTCTCGGACCTCAAATCAAATGAACGTTTATTTTGTCATATGCTTAGAGTACAGCGTAGGCGACACAGTACAATGATATTATTACTATTCATAAAGTAGTAACAGGGAGCACGGTTTCAACAACACGTAAAGACGTGTGCCGAGGCCTCGCCGCTAAGAGTCCATATTTTCATGCCTTAAACCTTTTTCATTTTCCGAAAGAGTTTTGCAGTAATTCGTTTTTTACACTTAGCACATCTACTGTATTTAGTAACAAGTTTTGTGATATGTCTGGGACGTGGCTGTGGAACCAAACAAGAGTTAGCAGCAAGATGGCGGACAATGCCACAAAGATGCTCTCCACCACTTTGCACAGAAATGTCTACACTACGTTCTGCTTTAATGGCCGAACTCTGTTCTTCTCTGTCAGGTTTACGAGCTGAAATTATGACAGACCTCCGGTCAACAGTGGCGACTTTGCAAGAAACTGTCTCCACCCAAGCGCAAACAATCAATAACTTTTGGAAACCTCGATGACTAACATCGACGAAGGGCTAACTGAGCTGGAGGCCAAATACAACACACTTATCACAGAGAATGTGAAGCTTAAGGCTGATGAACAAGAAAAAACTTTCCCGGAGACAGAACATAGCATGGTCGGCATACCAGAAGGGGCAGAGGGCCGCAATCCTACCGAGTTTATGGCCTCTTTCCTGCAGGATGTTCTCGGTGGAGAGACCTTTGACAGACCCCTCCGTCATTGACAGAACCACAATCCGACCGCCCTACCAGAGCTATGCATTTCTGCCAAAGATACAATTCTTAGGACCTCTTGCGAAAGAGGACAGCTGACTACAACGGCACACGGATCCATATCTTCCCAGACTACTCTACAGACCTGGCAAGACGCAGAGCTGCATGCAAAGATGTGAAATCCCCCCTTCACAAGGCAGGAGTCAGGCTCACATCGACACCATCATCCCAGACACCCTGGACCCACTCCAATTCGCATACCGCCCCAACAGATCCACAGTTGATTTCACTCCACTGCTCTTTCCCACCTGGACAAGAGGAACACCTACGTGAGAATGCTGTTCATTTACTACAGCTCAGCGTTCAACACCATAGTCCACACCCCAAGCTCATCACTAAGCTTAGGACCATGGGACAGAGCACCTCCCTCTGTAACTGGACTCCCTGAGGGGCCGCCCCCAGGTGGTGAGGGTAGGCAACAACACATCCGCCACGCTGAACCCTCAACACGGGGGTCCCTCAGGGGTGCGTGCTGACGACACGACGGTGGTAGGCCTGATCACCGACGACGATGAGACAGCCTACAGGGAGGAGGTCAGAGACCTGGCAGTGTGGTGCCGGGACAACAACCTCTACATCAACGTGAGCAAGACAAAGGAGCTGATCGTGGACTACAGGAAACGGAGGACCAAGTACGCCCCCATCCACATCAACAGGGCTGCAGTGGAGCGGGACGAGAGCTTCAAGTTCCTCGGCGTCCACATCACTAAGGATCTATCATGGTCCACACACACTAGCACAGTCGTGAAGAGGGCACGACAACGCCTCTTCCCCCTAAGGAGGCTGAAAATATTTGGCATGGGCTCTCAAATCCTCAAAAAGTTATACAGCTGCACCACTGAGAGCATCCTGACTGGCTGCATCACCACTTGGTATGGCAACTGCTTGGCAGCCAACCACAAGGCGCTACAGAGGGTAGTGCGTACGGCCCAGTACATCACTGGGGCCAAGCTTCCTGCCATCCAGGAACTCTATACCAGGCGGTGTCAGAGGAAGGCCCTAAAAAGTGTCAAAGACTCCAGCCATCCAAGTCATAGACTGTTCTCTCTGCTACCGCATGGCAAGCGGTACCGATGCACTAACCAACAGGACCCTGTTCTACCCCCAAGCCATAAGACTGCTAACCAAATAGCTACCCGGACTATCTGCAAACCGTAGTCTGTCTTTTTTATGGCGGTTTTGGAGCATATCAAATCAAATTGTATTTGACACATGCGCCGAATACAACAGGTGTAGACATTACAGTGAAATGCTGACTTACAAGCCCTTAACCAACAATGCAGTTTTTTAAAGAAAAATGCAAAATAAAAAAGTGTTAATTAAGAAAAAAATAAAATAAAAGCAAATAGCTAAAGAGCAGCAGTAAAATAAAATAACAGTAGGGAGGCTATATACAGGGGGGTACCGGTGCAGAGTCAATGTGCGGGGGCACCGGCTAGTTGAGGTAGTTGAAGTAATATGTAAATGTGGGTAGAGTTAAAGTGACTATGCATAAATAATTAACAGAGTAGCAGCAGCGTAAAAGAGGGGGGTGGGGGTGGGGGTGGGGTTGGGACAATGCAAATAGTCCGGGTAGCCATGATTAGCTGTTCAGGAGTCTTATGGCTTGGGGGTAGAAGCTGTTGAGAAGCCTTTTGGACCTAGACTTGGCACTCCGGTACCGCTTGCCGTGTGGTAGCAGAGAGAACAGTCTATGACTAGGGTGGCTGGAGTCTTTGACAATTTTTAGGGCCTTCCTTGCAGTGGCTTCTTCCTTGCTGAGCGCCTTTCAGGTTGTGTCGATATAGGACTCGTTTTACTGTGGATACTTTTGTACCTGTTTCCTCCAGCATCTTCAAAAGGTCCTTTTGCTGTTGTTCTGGGATTGATTTGCACTTTTTTGCACCAAAGTACGCTCATCTCAAGGAGACGAAAATTGTAACTATTTTGCACTATGGCCTATTTATTGCCTTACCTCCATAACTTGCTACATTTGCACACACTGTATATATATTTTCTGTTGTATTTTTTGACTTTATGTTTTTGTTTACCCCATATGTAACTCTGTGTTGTTGTTTTTATCGCACTGCTTTGCTTTATCTTGGCCAGGTCGCAGTTGTAAATGAGAACTTGCTCTCAACTGGCTTACCTGGTTAAATAAAGGTGAAATAAAATAAATAAAATAAATGTATAGGTCTAATCAATATATTGATCGATATTGATCTCTTCTTAAACCCTTAGTGGAGTTCCTGTTAGTAACGTGACAGAAAAACTAGGTTCTGTTTTTGCCGTTTCGTTTGGGGACTCGGCAGCGTTTTTTTCCCCTAAATGTTACTTTTACGTTGTATTTTAGTTCAGGGTTGCGCAAGCTTCCTCCTACTTTAAAAAAAAAAAGTTTTGTGATGCACTAAAGGGGAAGTTATTCTCTAAATGTTCATATTTTAGTTCAAATGAGGCACTGCCATCCTTTTAAACAATACAATACCCCATAATGATAAAGCAAAAACAGGTTTTTAGAAATGTTTGCAAATGTATATATTTTTTTTTTACTGAAATATCACATTTACATAAGTATTCAGACCCTTTACTCAGTACTTTGTTGAAGCACCTTTGCCAGCGATTACAGCCTCGAGTCTTCTTGGGTATGACGCTACAAGCTTGGCACACCTGTATTTGGGGAGTTTCTCCCATTCTTCTCTGCAGATCCTCTCAAGCTCTGTCAGGTTGGATGGGGAGCGTCGCTGCACAGCTATTTTCAGGTCTCTCCAGAGATGTTCGATTGGGTTCAAGTCCGGGCTCTGGCTGGGTCACTCAAGGACATTCAGAGACTTGTCCCGAAGCCACTCCTGCGTTGTCTTGGCTGTGTGCTTAGGGTCGTTGTCCTGTTGGAAGGTGAACCTTCGCCCCAGTCTGAGGTCCTGAGCGCTCTGGAGCAGGTTTTCATCAAGGATATCTCTGTACTTTGCTCCGTTCATCTTTCCCTCGATCCTGACTAGTCTCCCAGTCCCTGCCGCTGAAAAACATCCCCACAGAATGATGCTGCCAACACCATGCTTCATTGATCTTAGTTTCATCAGACCAGAGAAACTTGTTTCTCATGATCTGAGAGTCTTTAGCTGCCTTTTGGCAAACTCCAATTGGGCTGTCATGTGCCTTTTACTGAGGAGTGGCTTCCGTCTGGCACATTCAACCATAAAGGCTTGATTGGTGGAGTGCTGCAGAGATGGTTGTCCTTCTGGAAGCTTCTCCCATCTCCACAGAGGAACTCTGGAGCTCTGTCAGAGTGACCATCGGGTTCTTGGTCACCTCCCTGATCAAGGCCCTTCTCCTCCGATTACTCAGTTTGGCCGGGCGGCCAGCTCTAGGAAGAGTCTTGGTGGTTCCAAACTTCTTCCATTTAAGAATGATGGAGTCCACTGTGTAATTGGGGATCTTCAATGCTGAATAAATATTTTGGTACCCTGCCCCAGATCTGTGCCTCGACACAATCCTGTCTCGGAGCTCTACGGACAATTCTTTCGACCACATGGCTTGGTTTTTGCTCTGACATGCACTGCCAACTGTGGGACTTTATATAGACAGGTGTGTGCCTTTCCAAATCATGTCCAATCAATTTAATTTACCACAGGTGGACTCCAATCAAGTTGTAGAAACATCTCAAGGATGATCAATGGAAACAGGATGCACCTGAGCTCAATTTCGAGTCTCATTGCAAAGGGTCTGAATACTTATGTAAATAAGCTATCTGTTTTTTATACATTTCAAAAAAACTTATAAAAACCTGTTTTTGCTTTGTCATTATGGGGTATTGTGTGTAGATTAATGAGGAAATTGTTTTATTTAATCCATTTTAGAATAAGGCTGTAACGTAACAAAATGTGGAAAAAGTCAAGGGGTCTGAATACTTTCCCGAATGAATGTATTTAGCCAAACTATTAATTTTGTTTTTGTGGTCCACACCCGAAATACCGTCAGCTAGAAAAACTAACTTTTGACCTGCACCAGAGGACTGAAAAGTTCTGGAAAATCTGGTCACCGTTGTGGTCGTATGTAGAACGCCTCCCATAAATGCCCAAACAACCCCATATAAATGATACTGCTGTCTTTTTTACGTTATGACAGCTCCTTTTTTGTAATATTTTTTACTGTATTTTTTACTGTATTTTTACTGTATTTTTTACTGTATTTTTACTGTATTTTTACTTAACTCTCTGTACTCAGTCTGTGTAGCGCACTTCGATTTGTTGTTTGTGTAAACCCTGATCAAAGAAAAAAAAAGACAATTGTAATGAAAAGATCATTTAAAAAAGTAGTAATGAATATAGCAAGAGAACACAATGAGACAAAAAGAGAACTAAAATATAATACAAATAAATAAAATATAACAATATAATGAATATATATATTATTATATTGTTATAATATATATAATATATTCAACCAAACTGACCTCCGTGTTGAGACGGAGAACGCGGTCGCCCAGGTCCGTTTGTGTGAAGCTCTCATCGGCAGCAATGGTGTCCACCTTCAAATCAAATCATATTTTTTTTTTAATCCGTCACGGGATACAGCGTAGTAGTGTACACAGTACAATGAAATGCTTATGCTTGAAAGCTCTCCTCTTCAACAACAGCTATAAAAATTGCTCTCTTCTTAAACAACAGCTATAAAAATAGATTTCCTCTTAAACAGTGCAACAGCTATAAAAATAGCTATCCTCTTAAACAGTGCAACAGCTATAAAATAGTCAATCAAAATAAGTGAATTAGCCCAATCAGAACAGAGAGAGAGAAAGAAAGAGAGAGAGGGGAGAGGGAGAGAGGGAGAGAGAGAGGGAGAGAGAGAAAGAGAAAGAGAAAGAGGGAGATAGGGAGATAGAGAAGAGAGAACAGAGAGATAGAGAGAGATAGAGCGGAGAGACAGAGAAGCCGAGAGAGAGAAGAGAGATGACCATGACCGACAGAAGAAGAGAGAGAGAGAGAGAAGAGAGGAAGGGAGAGAGAGAGAGAGCAGAGAGAGAGACAGAGCAGAGAAAAGACGAGGGAGAGAGAGGACAGAGACAGAGACCTAGACAGAAGACAGAGACAGAGACAGAGAGACCAGAGAAGAGAGAGAAGAGAGAGAGCCGAGAGCGAGAGACCTGGACAGAGACAAGATAGAGAGAGAGAGAGAGAGAGAGCGGACTAGAACCAGAGACAGAGAGAGAGAGACAGAGAGAGAGAGAGAGAGAGAGAGAGAGAGAGAGAGAGAGACAGAGAGACAGAGAGACAGAGAGACAGAGACAGAGACAGAGTCGTGTATTGTTTTGTCTGACACAACAATAATACAATGTAAATAAGGTATGTGAAAGGGAAGAACACAATGTCAAAAAGCCCAGCAGCATACCACCCTGCATCCCACTGCTGGATTGCCTCTGTATGGGAGACCAGATGCTGCTGGAAGGGGTGTTGGAGGGCCAGTACGAGGCACCCTCCCCCCTGGTCTAAGGAGATCCCAATGTTCCAAGGCAATGATTGGGGACATGGTCCTGTGTAGGGTGGGATCTTTCGGATGTGACATTAAACGGGTGTCCTGACTCTCTTCGGTCATTAAAGATGGCATTTATCACAAGAGTAGGGGTGTTAATCCCCGGTGTCCTGGATAAAATGTCCAATCAGGCCCTCATACCATCATGACACACCTAATCATTCCCAGCATCCAATTGGCTCATTCTTCATCCCCCCCCCCCCCCCCCTCCTCTACCCTGTAACTATTCCCCAGGTCGTTGCTGTAAACGAGAACGTGTTCTCAGTCAACTAACCTGGTAAAATAAGGGTAAAAAAAAAATTATAATAAGAACACCTTGTCAATAAGAAGGAAAGCACAAAATATGATATAACATTAGACCTTGGCGTAGTCGGCAGGTCTGAAGCGCGTGGCGGCGGGGTGCGGCTCGTCGGTCTGGAAATAGAAGAGGTTAAAGGTCTCCTTGCAGGTGCCTGGCACCCAGGGTATGGAGTTACAGTCTCTCAGGGTGAACCGCAGCTCCACGTACACCTGAAGGTCACACACACAACACACCGCTACTATTACCTGCAGAAGTAACACAGCAGGGGTCACTGAAGCTGACGTTGTCATCCGAAGATACCTGCAGTAAACATTTTCAGTGGATATATAAGGTTGCACATTTCAGGAACTTTTCTTAAGGTTTTCAGAAAATCCTTGTTGCATGATTTCTTCCCTGTTTATTCGCTCCTGATTACGGATCGGGGGGGGGCGGCAGGTAGCTTAGTGATTAAGAGCGTTGTGCCAGTAACTGAAAGGTCGCCGGTTCTAATCCCTGAGCCGACTAGGTGAAAAATCTGTCGATGTGCCCTTGAGCAAGGCACTTAACCCTAATTGCTCTGGATAAGAGTGTCTGCTAAATGACTCAAATGTAAATGTAAAATGGATATACTCCAACCGGGATTTCTGGAAACTGGGGAATTTTAGGAAAGTTTCCATTTTTTAAAAAGTATTATTATTATTATTATTTATTATTATTATTATTATTATTATTATTATTATTATTATACTGTATATTATTATAGAATACCTTCTGTGCTGCCTGGCGCTGGATCCAGTTGGACCGTAGCCAGTTGTTCTGGTTGGACTCCATCACATGACACACCTGGAAGGTATGGATAGGTCGGTTCTGTTCGTCCATCTCCGTTATGGCATCCCACTGGAGGGGGAGGGAGGGAGGGAGGGAGGGAGGAGGGAGGGAGGGAGGGAGGGAGGAGAAGTTGGAAGATAGGAGAAAGGGATGAAACAGAAGACAAGTGGAAGGAAGAAGGATCATGATTTAATAAGACATCACGTTACCACGGTAACAGTAGAGCCATGGAGGACAGCTGGACCGCCCAGTCTCTGTCTCGTACGGCCCCATAGCGCCGACTATCTTGAGGGTCTTACTGGTGTTTTCACAACTCTTACATCAGCCAGCCAGCCCACAACAGCACCGCACTGCCCCAACACACTCCCCTCCCGCCCCGTCCTGTCCTCCCATCTCCTCTCCTCCCCTCCCCTTTCCCCTGAGAGAGAGAAACCCTACTACCACGGGTAGAGCTGTTTCCTCTGCAGCGTTTAATGGGTGTAGATTTACAGGGTAAAGCCAAGGTCATCTCCCACCACGGTAGCCTCTCTTAACTGTCAGGAAAATGGCAGCTTGGAGAGATACTTCAATCATGTATATTTACCGTGATAATATGTGGTCTTGACAAGGGAATGTTCAGTGCAATGGGCTTGTGTTCCATCTTTAAGATGGCCCTAAGATGTAGCCTCCACGTTGAGCTTAACAGACACTCCAATAAAAAGAAGATTTAGCTCAAATCTTCAGTCTCTGTCTGTCTGTCTGTCTGTCTGTCTGTCTGTCTGTCTGTCTGTCTGCCTGTCTGCCTGTCTGCCTGTCTGTCTGTCTGTCTGTCTGTCTGTCTGTCTGTCTGCCTGCCTGCCTGCCTGCCTGTCTATCTCTCTGTCTGTCTATCTCTCTGTCTGCCTGTCTTCCTGCCATTATACCTGTAGAGACCCAGGCATTATCTAACAGTGGCTGGTGGTCCATTAAACCCGAAGAGACCCAGGCATTATCTAACAGTGGCTGGTGGTCCATTAAACCCGAAGAGACCCAGGCATTATCTAACAGTGGCTGGCGGTCCAGTAAACCTGAAGAGACCCAGGTATTATCTAACAGTGGCTGGTGGTCCAGTAAACCTGAAGAGACCCAGGCATTATCTAACAGTGGCTGGTGGTCCATTAAACCTGGAGAGACCCAGGCATTATCTAACAGTGGCTGGTGGTCCATTAAACCTGAAGAGACCCAGGCATTATCTAACAGTGGCTGGTGGTCCAGTAAACCTGAAGAGACCCAGGCATTATCTAACAGTGGCTGGTGGTCTAGTAAACCTGAAGAGACCCAGGCATTATCTAACAGTGGCTGGTGGTCCATTAAAAACCTGAAGAAACCCAGGCATTATCTAACAGTGGCTGGTGGTCCAGTAAACCTGAAGAGACCCAGGCATTATCTAACAGTGGCTGGTGGTCCGGTAAACCTGAAGAGACCCAGGCATTATCTAACAGTGGCTGGTGGTCCGGTAAACCTGAAGAGACCCAGGCATTATCTAACAGTGGCTGGTGGTCCGGTAAACCTGAAGAGACCCCAGGCAGTAATCTAACAGTGGCTGGTGGTCCGGTTAAACCCTGAAGAGACCCAGGCATTCTCTAACAGTGGCTGGTGGTCCGGTAAACCAACCTGAAGAGAACCCAGGGATTATCATAACAGTGGGCTTGGTGGTCCATTAAACCTGAAGAGGACCCAGGCATTATCTAACAGAACAGTGGATGGTGTGCCAGTAAAACCTGAAAGAAGACCCAGGCATTACATACAGTGCGGTGGTCCAGTAAACGAAGAGTTAGCCAGGCATTATCACCTGGCTGGTGGTCAGTACCTGAGAGTCCGGCATTATCTACAGTGCTGTGTCCTTAACCTGAAGGACCTGCATGTATCTACTGTGGTGTGTCCTTAACTGAGGACCCGGCGTATCTACAGTGGTCTGTGTGGTCGTACCTGAGCACCCAGGCATTATCTACAGCGCTGTGTCCGTAACCTGAAGACCCAGCATTTCTACGTGCTGGTGGTCCTTAAACCTGCAGACCTCTGCTGCTTCTAACATGGCTGTGTCCAGTAAACCTGAAGACCCAGCAGTATCTCACATGTGCTGGTGGTCTGTACTAGGACCCGCATTCTACGTGCTGGTGGTCTAGTAACCTGAGAGACCCAGATTATCTAACATGCTGTTGTCCTAACCTGAGAGACCCGCATTATCTATGCTGGTGGTCCATTAAACCTGAAGAGACCCAGGCATTATCTAACAGTGGCTGGTGGTCCAGTAAACCTGAAGAGACCCAGGCATTATCTAACAGTGGCTGGTGGTCCATTAAACCTGAAGAGACCCAGGCATTATCTAACAGTGGCTGGTGGTCCAGTAAACCTGAAGAGACCCAGGCATTATCTAACAGTGGCTGGTGGTCCATTAAACCTGAAGAGACCCAGGCATTATCTAACAGTGGCTGGTGGTCCAGTAAACCTGAAGAGACCCAGGCATTATCTAACAGTGGCTGGGGTCCATTAAACCGAAGAGACCCAGGCATTATCTAACAGTGGCTGGTGGTCCATTAAACCCTGAAGAGACCCAGGCATTATCTAACAGTGGCTGGTGGTCCATTAAACCTGAAGAGACCCAGGCATTATCTAACAGTGGCTGGTGGTCCATTAAACCTGAAGAGACCCAGGCATTATCTAACAGTGGCTGGTGGTCCATTAAACCTGAAGAGACCCAGGCATTATCTAACAGTGTTAATTGACCTCCTCACTAAGATCAAAGCTAAATTATGCACAGGGAAATGAAGTACGATTAAAGTGTAGAGTACCAAAGTTTGAATGATTAAACACACATTAACCTTGACTGTGCCAACAGTGTTAATATAATAATAATTAAGTAATCTAAATTAGCTTAATGGAAACACCCAAGGGGGATGAAATTATAAATCATCGTAGTTAAATCAATGGCTTTCCACCTGCTGCAGACTAGAGAGAGAGCCAGGGCAACCAATGCTGATGCACTGACTATGGAGTGTCCTTTATGAAGGAGGGCTGACTATGTAGTGTCCTTTATGAAGGAGGGCTGACTATGTAGTGTCCTTTATGAAGGAGGGCTGACTATGTAGTGTCCTTTATGAAGGAGGGCTGACTATGTAGTGTCCTTTATGAAGGAGGGCTGACTATGTAGTGTCCTTTATGAAGGAGGGCTGACTATGTAGTGTCCTTTATGAAGGAGGGCTGACTATGTAGTGTCCTTTATGAAGGAGGGGCTGACTATGTAGTGTCCTTTATGAAGGAGGGCTGACTATGTAATGTCCTTTATAAAGGAGGGCTGACTATGTAGTGTCCTTTATGAAGGACGGCTGACTATGTAGTGTCCTTTATGAAGGAGGGCTGACTATGCAGTGTGCATTATGAAGGAGTGCTGACTATGTAGTGTGCTTTATGAAGGAGGGCTGACTACGTAGTGTACTTTATGAAGGAGGGCTGACTATGTAGTGTCCTTAATAAAGGAGGGCTGACTATGTAGTGTGCTTTATGAAGGAGGGCTGATTATGTAGTGTCCTTTATGAAGGAGGGCTAACTATGTAGTGTCCTTTAGAGAGAAGGAAATGAAGGAGGGCTGACTATGTATTGTGCTTTATGAAGGAGGGCTGACTATGTAGTGTGCTTTATGAAGGAGGGCTGACTACGTAGTGTACTTTATGAAGGAGGGCTGACTATGTAGTGTCCTTAATAAAGGAGGGCTTACTATGTAGTGTGCTTTATGAAGGAGGGCTGATTATGTAGTGTCCTTTATGAAGGAGGGCTGACTATGTAGTGTCCTTAATAAAGGAGGGCTTACTATGTAGTGTGCTTTATGAAGGAGGGCTGATTATGTAGTGTCCTTTATGAAGGAGGGCTGACTATGTAGTGTGCTTTATGAAGGAGGGCTGACTATGTAGTGTCCTTTATGAAGGAGGGCTGACTATGTAGCGTCCTTAATAAAGGAGGGCTGATTATGTAGCGTCCTTAATAAAGGAGGGCTGACTATGTAGTGTCCTTTATGAAGGAGGGCTGACTATGTAGTGTCCTTTATGAAGGAGGGCTGACTATATAGTCCTTTATGAAGGAGGGCTACTATGTAGTGTCCTTTATGAAGGAGGGCTGACTATGTAGTGTCCTTTATGAAGGAGGGCTGACTATGTAGTGTCCTTTATGAAGGAGGGCTGACTATGTAGTGTCCTTTATGAAGGAGGGCTGACTATGTATAGTCCTTTATAAAGGAGGGCTGACTATGTAGTGTCCTTTATAAAGGAGGGGCTGACTATGTAGTGTCCTTTATGAAGGAGGGCTGACTATGTAGTGTGCTTTATAAGGCTGAGGGCTACTATATAGTCCCCTTGTATGAAGGAGGGGCCTGACTATATGAGTTCCTTTACGAGAGAAGGAAAGGAAGGGAGGTGTAATCCAGTCAATAAGAATTGTGTCTCAGATCACCCCACTTATTCCCTAATATTGGTGTAAACTAGATACAATGGGCCCTGGACAAAAGTAGTGCACTATGTAGGGCATAGGGTGCTATTTGGGCCACATACATAGTAATGCTGAGGTATAAGACAGTGATAGATAGCAGGATGGCAGGTACCATCCGGTGACACAGTGGTAATCTCCTGTGTCTTTATGAAACTAATAACTAACATCCCGCCCCCGCTCCCTCGCCCTCCCTCCCTTCCCTCCCTCCCGCCCTCGCCCCTTCCCTCCCGCCCGCTCCCTGCCCTTCCCTCCCCCCTCCCACCCTCCGCGCCCACGCCCTCCCTCCCTTATCCCCGGCGCCTCCCTACCCTCCCTCCCTCCCTTCCCTCCCTCCGCCCTCCCTCCCTCCTCTCTCTATCTCTCTCTTATTTCATGTAGCTTATCTGATTCTCCTGTAGATTTGTCGCTGTGCTGAAATAACATTTTGATCATAAAGTCCCCAATTACAACGGCACACCAAAATATATTCATCTGATTTAATACTGTCTGCTCTGTTGCTGCCGTGGTTTCCAGCTATCGTCCCTCTCTCAGGTCATCTTTGTTCTGTGTCCCACAGTGCACTACTTCTGATCAGTGCCCTATGAGCCCTATGAGCCCTACAGTATGAGCCCTATGAGCCCTACAGTATGAGCCCTACTATGAGCCTACAGTATGAGCCCTATGAGCCCTACAGTATGAGCCCTATGAGCCCTACAGTATGAACCCTATGAGCCCTATGAGCCCTATGAGCCCTATGAGCACTATGAGCCCTACAGTATGAGCCCTATGAGCCCTACAGTATGAGCCCTATGAGCCCTATGAGCCCTATGAGCCCTAGAGTATGAGCCCTACATATGAGCCTACGTATGAGCCCTATGAGCCCTACAGTATGAGCCCTATGAGCCCTACAGTATGAGCCCTATGAGCCCTACAGTATGAG